TATTAAATACCATTTCAATGAATTACTAATTCACGCTCCGTATATTATCGATTATTATTGTTTAATCGATATAATAATTAAAAGAAGAAGAGTTATTATTGACATAATATCTACATTTGAGTTGGTTTGAAGCAAGTGTTGAATTTTATATGAAATAGTAGATTTGCCAGTACAAATTGCAATATATTATATTTACACCACATGATCTCACCAAAGTTATTTAACTGCGGCTTTCATAAAACAAGTGACAAAATGGTATTAATGCTGACTCTTTAACGTTTTAATTAGATTACACTCATATATATTGTTTTTAATGTTTCCGATGTTTTATAATTCATAATTTAATAATAATCGTATATTATTGTTTAAGTATAATTAATTAATTTATTATAATTCAATAGGTAATAAATTTTTATCTAATTTTAAGATCAAGTAGTAACAAATATCATTGTTGATAAAATTCTTTAGATGATAAGTATTGAAGAATGAAGTAAATACATGTGACAAAAGTGCAAATGTTGATGCAATCACGAGATAGCAGTTCATACCACGAACACCAGGGAAGACGATTTAAATTCATTATTCGGTACTTTCTTCTTTCTCGCTGGGTTACTCATAATACGTAGCTCCTTTAGGAGCTTCTGAATGATTCGTCCATTCAACCCCATTTATCGACGTTCTTGTAATCTTCCATCTACTTAAGCAAGTCGTAAATCTTCTAAAATTCACATTCTGTTCAGAACAGATGAAAATTCGACCATTTTTCAGCACTGATCACAATGTCAATGATAAAAGAACTTGAAGAATTCTTGCAAAACTTTAACATATTTAACAACTATTGAATTTATTATTTAAATACTTAAATGGTACAATATTATTACAGTATCACATAAAATTAATAACATATTCTGTTTATAAGTTGAATACAATTACACAAATATTATTAATGAATAATATTAAAAAATATGAAATAATCTTAATTTATTTAAAATTTGTATATTTCTTTACATTGTTATAACTCTCTCAAGTAGAATTTTTAATTTTTCTACAACGACAAGTTGCACGATTTTTAGTATGAACTTAAATTATCTAATTTCACAAGTTTCGCCGGTTTCTTTGTATTATTATCTGATTGAAAATGTAGATTTCATGCATTTATACCAAATATGGATGTATAAAACTTTAATAACTCAATAAAACTTTTAATAGACAAATCGAAATTAGCAATCTCATTCGATTGCTATCGATATCACGATAAAAGGAATTTTGAATTTCTGTTTCTCCGATACTTCTTTCTTACTACTACTTGTTGCTTTTGGTATTAACTTATTGCGGCTGAAATTTTCATCAAACTCTATCCTAAAATGAACCATATTCTCGTATAATAAGACAATGCCTATATTGTCGCTATGAAAATTCTTGTATTTCGCTTTAAACGTACGTACCGTGAAAGATACTTTTATGCGACTGATCTGTTCACTGACAAAATGGTAAAATGTTCTTTAAGTTCTCGACGCGAAATATTGCGTTAATGCGTTCGCCATCATCCGCCAGATATTTGTGACACACGCGATTTTGTATTCTACATCAAAAGATTTGAACAAATTTTCTATATGTAATCATTTACTGAACGTAATTACTAAATTATCTGAATTACTTTGTAGATTTAGAATTCAAATCTTCTAATATAAAGGTATTTGTAATTAGTGTGAAGTATGTACTTCATTTTTACTATTATATATGTAGTATCTAGAATATTTAGCGTAGGTTACAGTATTGTAGGATGAATAGTTTGTTGTGCGTGCGTAAGGGCGACCAGGTCGTATTGCGACGGACCGGCGCCGGGATGATTGGAAAATAGTGTGACTGCGTTTAGAAAATCTCGAGTGGCTGGAAGAATGCGAGGAAGAGTGTCTGAAACTGAGCGACTGGACTGTGAGAAAAGCGTGTACGTGACTGCGTGAATTTTGACTATGGACGAAAGATGCGAATGAGAAGGGTGCAAGGGTGAGAAAGACAGAGCGAATGGGGGTGTGTGTTAAAAGCGAGTGGGAATGCGTGCATGAGGACTTTTTGGTGAGAGACAGCGGAGAAGAACATTTTTGTGCGTGATAGAGAGTCGTGTGTTGGCCTTCGTGGTATTAAGTTGTATTTTTACGTGTTGTCCATATTGTTTCCTAATTCTCTTTTTACTGAAGATCCACCTTTTCAATATCTATAATAATAGTAGCCCCACTATAAACTATATATGTACATTTAATATTTCAAATATTTCTGTAAATAGTGTTTATAAATACACAATAATCTATACACAATAATGTGTTAAAAAATCTATATCTACAAATATAGGATGTTGCAAAATAATTTATAAAAATGTGAATTTGTAGTTATAATTGAGTAACCGACACTTTGATGTGTCATTTGTGATAAATGATGTTTGAAAGCAATATGCATCTTTTAGAAAAGTCTCATACGAGAAGTAGAAGGCATTTACAAGCATCACGAAACTAATTTACATACTTACATCATATTGAAACTTTGATTAGGATAATTCAAGCTACCCTGTGACAATTCTATTTCTGCAAGCGAGAGAGTGATGTAAGAACTGCATAGCTAGCAACATTATACATATATGCTAGGATATAGCAAAGAATCAAATCACTTTATACATTTAACGTGGAGAACAAAATCAATTTGAAATGTCTGCGTATGTATTGGAATGGACTCCAGAACTTAAACAAAACTTTTTCAATTACAGCACATGTGCATACCAAAGATAATGTTAAGTGGGCTCGAAATATTCACAAATTTCAGACAGTTCCACTGATGTATGAGTTGAAACATTAATATCGTTGATTTATTTGCTTTGAAGTCTTCAACTCTTTACTTTAATTACTTAAGATTCAGCTATGTTTTAATAAAACCTTTTAAGTATTTGAAGTCACTTTTATACATCAATTTTCATCCCCTTAGATAAAAATAATTGCAGTTTCAAATTTAAATACAATCGAGGAATGTGGACTACGAGGAATGTGGAGGAGGACACAGTGAAATTTTCATCATGAATTCCCCATATATTGCATTTTTTTCATAAATTTATTTCCTGTTCGCGTGCAGATGTATTATATAAAAAATTTATCATCAACTCCTTCGTTAAATTCTGTTTTTATCGTTTTTTATGGGATTTATTCACTTTAAAACTAAAGTGTAAAATTTGATTTAACATTTGTTTATTAAACAGTATCTTTCAGTTCAGATTTACTTCATTACGTCATGTTTCAGTGATCTCCTTCAACTTTTGTTTTCAGTCTGTTTTAATATCGACTTCTTTGTACCTCATTAACTACTACTCTTAAGTGTGCTACAGGTAAAGTAACTACCAGCTTATAGACCAACAAACTAAGCACTTTTGTAACCATCTCACTTTATGCTACATTTTATGTTCATACTTCGTTCCCCAAGAACGCCAACAAAAGTCAGACTAGAATGAATAATTTTTCACTTTATAAGTTAGTGATCAAGTATTTAACATCGAAAGTGTAAATGTAACTCAAAACTCAGAATAACTTCGTTTTTATAAACCTGTGTAAGTAATGAGTTAAATGATTGTTATTGTTATATTATATAGTTGTACATAAAAGTGTTTCCTTTGTTTTATAACAACATCCATTTAAAGAAACTGTGAAAGAAGTTCTTGTTATCGCAACGAATGGGTTTATTATTACAATAGATGTTACGTTTAATATTAATAATTTCATCAAACTTAATATTTGATTAAGGAAGCAGTTTACCATAACTCGATTATAATATCTTTTACATATCAATTAAATTAATCTCTTTTACTAACAAACGCTATAATTAAAAACAAGAGTTTGCTTCCCAGCTAAATTGGCTAGAACGATGCCAAACGATTAACATTGATCCAACTGATGTTTACTAATTGAAAGTCCTTTTACTTCTAATAGAAGAGTCGTTTAACCGTCCATACTTTCCCCATCAACCTTCAGACGACAGTACCAGAGTCTATTTTGCACCAAGTTTTCAAAAGCCCTGTCAAACTCCTCCGGTTATGGTGGTTGACTTAACCCAGATAATACCGAAACTATTTCACGTCAGGTTGTATATTTTTGTCGTGAAAGTGGACTGCTTTTACGTTAAAATACACTGCAAACACTTTTTAAATAAATACCGAACCGTAAATATGTGATATTTTAGAAAGACTGTAATACTTTAATGATAATAATAATAAATAATAATACTAATAATTTTCTTTGAACAGTAATCCTTTAATAATAACTATGTCACTTAACATGATTTGTTGTTTCAATATTGTATTCGCTGTTACTGTTGAAAGTTTGATTAAGAAACTCGTAGACACTGATTATTAATCTACAATAAACTATTCAATAACGATCGGTAAATAATATGTTAACCCTTAACAGTTGAAAGCATTCTTATAGTTGCTGTAACTGGAGATACATTTTCTTTTCCTTTTGTTTTCTTTACATTTATTCGATATTTTATTATTTTATAACTGAGACTTGCACTCTTAAAAAATTATCATCTCTTAGGGGTTAATACTCTATTAAAATTCAATTTTTGTGTAAGGTATCAAAAAGTGAAGCACATAAATAAAATTCTTTTGTTCCTTAATTTATGTAGAATTTTTCGTTACACTATTTCCGAATAATACTATCCATATTTTATCAAAAAACAATGAATATTTACAATGAAAAATATTGTCCGTGCAAAGAGTTAATTATTTACACCGTGTGAGTTCGTTCTCTCAATAAATGGGTCGAATAATTCTATCCCCTAAATTACGAAAAATTTGTCTTTACACTATTTCCAAATAATACTATCCATGTTTTGTCCAAAAAAAATAATGAAAAATATTGTCGAGTACAGATGGTTAATTGTACACTACGAGTAAGTCCATTTTCTCGATCAATCAGTTGAATAGTCCTTGAGCGAGGAGAAGGCGGAAAATTCAAACTCACCGCCAGAGTCCTCGTGAAGAAGTCACTACCGTCGGTTAGCTGGACGAACACTCGCGCGGAGCGGGGCTCGCACTGACGTGAGCTCGCATGCGAAACGAACGAATCCAGGGTCCTCGTGTTCCTTCGGCACCACTTGCTCACCACCCCGTCGCCACCTCCCCAGTCACGTCGAGCACGATGCGCAACCTCGGAATATTTATACCACCCCTTGCAGGCCCGTGTCTCCTATCCCTCCCCCTACTGCCCGTGTCGAACGAGAAACTGCTCGAGACGAAAATTGTTTTACGACTCCGAAGATCGCGAACCACCCCCTTCTCGATATTTGCTGCTTCGTTTCCTGTCTATCCGATTTCCTTCTTACAACGGAATACACGTGTACCTACACCTTGGAAAATCGCATTAGAATATACCATAGGTATACTACGTTTGACAGTTCTCTTTATCAACGCTTTCCCTTTTGATTTATTTTGATTCAGATGTTTCTGCTCGCGATAGTTAATCTTAACTTAGTGGGGCAGAAGTGCTATAAAGAAACATAAAGTACAGTGAACATTGGATAACTTCAACATCGGGGACCTCTTCATAATTGCAATATCATCATCCCCACAGATTGGCTTCCTTTCATTATTCTGGAGATATTATAAACGTGCATTTATTGAGATTTTAATTGGCTTATATTTTAGTTCGTATATTACGAAATCAGGTTATCTAGTCATTTCTCTGAGAAATGTTTGTATCTTCTTAATGATCGTAAAAGAAGAAACCAGGAGTAAGTCATTTTGACCTGCCTTTGGTGTTAATACAATCTGTACGTTGTGATATAATTTAACTACCGTCATTATTTACTACCTAAATTATTTTGGTTACGATATGGAAGATTTATAAAATAATGTAGAAAATCGAGTTTTAAATTGAGTTGTATGGGGAAAATGTGTGGGCGAGACTCGCCATATTAACTCAAATGGTTAACTGATTTCCTTGTCATGTTTCAGTTTGATAATTAGGAAGTATTTTTATAGTATTTGGTTAAATAAGTTAAATTGTGCTATGTAGTATTTGGTAATATTAATTTAATTTTTGTTTCGTAATATTGGAGTATTTGAAATGAAATTGAATGGGTAAGAATAATATTATATTTAGATCATAATTGGATGAATGATAATGTTATTTTAAGGTTACAATTGTTTCGACTCTACGGTGAATACAAATTTTAAATGAATATGGAGTTTACTTTTCTGCTGACGATTTATTAAAATAATTTCAGTATTTCATTATTGAAAATATTCAATATTTTATTATTCTTATATATTTTATTTTCTCAATCGATAACTGTTAATCATTTGATAATAATTCATCCTTAATACGTGATTTCAGAATTTGTTTGCACACTCTCTGAAAAATATTCAGTATTGTACACAACTTCGTTTCGAACTCATATAACTTCAGTGTTTATTTTTGCTTGTCATTACTGCCGTTTGTTTTAATCAATGTTTACGCAACATTCGCTCTTCATCGATTAATATTAAATGTCGAGTTTTTAGACAAAAGATTATTTAAGCATATGCATTATAAATTTTTGTTAACGATGCTGACAATAATTTGTACTGAAATTATTTTCAAGATAAACATGCATACGATTTATTTTTATCATTCTCTTTTCCTCCCATGAGATACCATATGCTTTATACCTACAGTTTAAAATTCAAAGGTATTTATTACAATCCTCAGACAATAAATATTGAAAATATTTCTTCCTAGAGAAATCATTTGTTGTTTTAATATCATCTGGTAAGAATGATTTTAGTATTATGTGATATCTCTAGAGATTAATATTTTATTCAAAAAATTTTTTACAGAGAAGATTATTTACAACAAATGAATATTTTAATTAGTTACATACAATTAATTGCATATATACATGAAGATAAACGTTTAAAAGAGTATTTAACCAAACGGTGACGCGTACAAGCACTTGTTCCCCACAGTAGAGCGTACCCGTCTGTGATCAGACACGCATGCAAACAGGTGGAAAGCATCAATCACTCACAATATCTTATGCATCATGAAAGATTTTTATCTGTGATGGTAAATCATCTCATTTACTTTTATTTTACCCTTTATATTTTAATAATCCATAAAATTCAAGCGCAATAGTCAAATTTTTGTCACGTTTTATTCTAAAATCTCTTCTCTGTTACGTGAAATTTGGAATGTATACGAAACAATTTGATTATTACTAGAAACTTAATAATAATTAAATAATATGAAAGTGTACTTCAATTTTCATGTATTTTATTTAATAGTTTCAAACAATCAATGGTTACATTGTTCCTATTAATCTTGTAACATGGATGAAGATTGAATTGTAGCGGCGATTAAGATTAATTTATTAAGAATTATCGTGTAGCTTATAGGTATAATAAATCATTTAAGATGAAAATTAACGAGTATTCCGGTTTTCTGTAGAATGAAGTACATATATAAAAATGAGAGTTTTAACAAATTTAGACAAGAATTGAACAGAACTAAACTACAATATAATATTCTCAGTTATAACGCAGTCAATATTAACAGTATGAAAATTACATATTTACTATCGGTTGACAAGAGAGTAACTTACATAATAATTAACATATTATCTATCAGCAATTACTAAACAATTCATCGAGGACAAACAACCGATACTCACGGCTTTCATAATGAATTTTTCAACAACAAAAACACTTTTGTTTAATATTATTATTCAAAGAAAATTATTAAGCAGCTTTCCAATATAAAACACTCATCGAAAAGTCTATTAATAGCCCAGTATACGAACTGTTAACACATTAAACGTTGTCGTCAGTAAATGAAATATCTCGAGAATGTTTTAAGATACTAGATTATATATTATATATCAATTACAAAAATAATTATTGCAGTTTTAACACACATATGTTGAAATACTTGTATATCATCAAATTTGTATCATTAACATATATACCTCATTTTACAAGAAAGTGTTAGCAAAATCTACCCGATGCGAGTGTATTAAGTTTCAAATATGGAAGTCTAAAAACTACTAAGTATTGTTAAATATTCTCGTTTGCAGCAAGTAATAAAACAATGTATTGTATTCATTTCTTTCTACTTATTTAAATATATCTACATAGCAATAGTGTTAACTATACAACGAAAATTTCACTGGTTGTAAAATTCACGATCTTTTATATAGAGGTCTGTGTGGCCACACCTCCAAACTCAAAGGTTAATATAAAAATTACACCGACATTTGAAGTGTATTTCAGAAATCGATGATACTTGTCAGTTCGTCCCGGACTGCGATTTGTTTTACGCAGGTCGGTTGGATCGAATTTTCAAAGCGTTCCGGGTTTAAATCACGAAGAATGGTTTCGCGGGAGGCTCGCGTGTCTGGCGGGTTTCGCGGTGAATTCATCATCCCGCGGGTATTCTCTCGTAACGCATTCCCATATAACACTATATTCTACGGCGTAAACGGCCACGTGAACGGGGGAATGCAACGGGCGCGCACGTTAAACATAATGCTGTGCTTGGGTCAGTTAATTGGTCAGAGCAAGCCAGTTAGTTTCATTACGTTACCTCCATCTTCGTGGGTTTCGCACAATGGAGGCCTCTTCCAGTATCGGGGCCACTAGGCCTGTCTGCGTACCATATACGAGCGAGACGTGTCCCAATCCAAATTTCATCCAGTTGAAAATCTGACGATTGTTTTCGGTAGGGTAAGTCAGGGAGAGACGGCCGACTTTTTCTTAAAAGAACTGTTACATTGTAAAAATGATTAATACCTAACGAAAGGAAAATATATTTATGCAAGTAAGTACGAATACAAATAATGGTTAAGTAGGCATTTTGTCCAAGATTCGAAATATCAATAACAAAAATTGAAAATATAGATATTTGACAATGTAAATAAGATCGGGCCATGTCACCTGGAATTACTCTGTTGATTGCAACTTTTGCCGTGTCGTAGTTACTAAGCGACCGTACATAAGATTCCAAATTGTATAGCTGAATGCTGTAAGTGTCGGTTATTCAAATGTGTATGAATATACAAAATATTAAAATTTATGTAGTGAACTATATATATATATTTGTATATTTGAATATTTGTATATTTGTATATTTGTATATTTGTATATTTATATATCCATATAAATTTTATTTTTAAATAACGTAGGATTAAGCGATCAGCACTCTTCTATAAAATGTGAAATAATTTAGAACTAGATTACGGGTATTCTTCTAAGAAAATTTAAAATGATGTAAGACTTAGGCCTACGTTACTGGTTTTGAACGTGTTAACGATAAGAGGTAATGCTGCTGTATATGTTATTGTACCGGTAATTTAAAATTCGATAATAGTTACTTACTAAACTAGTTAATTGCTAGTTTTTTAGTTCCTTTTTTCCTGGAAGATTTGCAATTCAAAGTATTTTAATATTTGCATATTAGTACAAGTGTATTATTCTAATTATCTTACTTCCTAGAGTGTATGGCTTTTTATGCAAATATATTCATTCTCTAAAAATACTGATAAAATACTGCTCGAGTGCTCGATAAAACTATTTCTTAAGTTAACAATGTACACTTTATATAACCAAAATAACAGTTTGTATCAACGGGACGATCAATTCACACTGTATTACAAGCACGGGAAAAATCTTGACGGACAAACTTTCGAATGATTCATGTCGCTCGAGCGGCGACCATTCTATCTCCGAACCGCAAGAATCGTTTGCGCGGCACGCACGTCGCATGGTTTCGCCGAACACCGGGAAAAAACGGCCGGCAAAGAATCGTGTACACGAGAGGAACGATGTTGCTTGCCCGCGAAGGATCGTCCGAGGGCATGTCGTTAATGACCCGCTATAAGTGGCGAAGAATTGCATGCTCGCGCGCTCCGCGTACCCTGCGATCGACTGCAGGCCCTCTAAAATGCGGGCCACACGTCCGCAAGTTTTGTTATCGTTGCAACGAGCGAGGTGATAGAGCTTAGTGCAAGGTTAGTCGGCGATGAGTGAAGTGCCAGTCCTCTCTGTGGCCACTGTTTATCGGTAGCAGCTAGGGCCAGCAGGATTTCAGCGGGATTCCTGGCGTGAGTCTATGGTCATTTCACTTG